AAATGAAAAAAATTGGTCTAAAGAGTTTAGACAGTCTTCCCTCGCTGTCGAAAACGTGACGACTGCACGCCTATTTATCTTTTTTTTCGCATTAGATTCCAAAGCATTCGGTTTTGTTGTTCTTGATTAAATCAATAAAATAAATTTGCGCATTCATTAAATTTTTTGAGTCACCCTGTATATCCAAATCCAAAAAATATGAATGGAATAATAATTTACAAGTATAGACTCATCATATTTTGTACATTTTAGATAGGATTTATTCAGGAAAATTTTGGGGTGACGTCATCAATTTTTTGGAGGGGATAACTAAGTAGATTATGATTAAAATTTTATCATGGTTATCATAACTGTAAACCATCTGCAAGATTTCAAAGCATTGGGTTTGTAGATTCCAAATTAAATGTCAAAATGTTGTTTCGTAATTTTGATTTTTTTTGGAAAAATCTGGACGTTTCGAGTAAAATCTCAATTTGGAGTCATAAACTACATGTGTAAGACTATGCTATTTGATGCAATTTAAAACTCAATTACTATGTACAATTTTGAACTGACGTCATCATATTAGTGGTGGGGATGATTAGACAAATTTTAGTTAGCGTTTTACCATCTACATGATATACCTAATATAAATACAAAATTTGACAACAATCGGCCCAGTACTTTCGGAAATTATCTATCTAATAAAAATCCGGGACGGCAGACAGACGGACAGACGGACAGACAGACGGACAGACAGACGAAAACGGGAGACCTATTTCTTCGTCTTCTAGGGGTCATGAAAGATCGAGAAAATGTAAAAGTAGACAGTCGGCCAACGGACTCAATTACAATACTTCCTTTGCTTACGCTCGGGAAGTAAAAATTAGTCGAAGGTTGTTTCGCTAGAACTTCCTTCGCCCCTGAAGTACAACGAACGATATCCAGCATTTTCGAAGAATCATAAAATTTGATTTTGCGAATTTTATTTTTTATGAGAATTCCCATAACTTGAAATAAACATATGTATGTAATGTGGAAATAGCAAATATATTTTGATTACAAATTTACCATGTTTATAATCATTAATAATTTTACAACATCTGCAAGATTTGAAAAGCACTCGGTTTTGCAGATTCAAAATTAAGTTGTAAAATGTTGTTACATAATTTTGATTTTTTTCGTTTCGGGTAACACGGATTCATAAACTACAAGTGCAGAACTAAATTACTTGATACATTTAAAACCCATTTACTATGTACAATTCTGAGGTGACGTCATCACATTATTGGTGGGGATGATTAAACAAAGTTTAGTTAGTGTTTTACCATCTCCATGATATTCGCAACAGACATATAAAATTTGAGAAAAATCGGTTCGTTAGTTTCGGAGATTATCTATCTAACCAAAAATGGCACAGACGGCGGACCGATAGACAGACAGACAGACGGAAATGGAAGACCCATTTTTTCGTACTCTAGGGGTCATGACTCATATGAACAGAACCAGTCGCCCAATGGACGCACTTACAGTACTTCTTTAGCTTACACTCAGGAGTAAAAAGGTGAAACTTGGGGTCAGAATCAGTTTTTTGACGCTTTATGTATATATATTATATACATATCGTAAATCTCGCAGAATACGAGAAAAAGATAGGTCGTCTGTCGTATGTTGGCGATTGTATGTATATATTTAACTGTGAAATTTTAGATATATTTTTAGAATATAATGGTAAACGCCGTCAAATTTCTTTGATCATCTTATTAAATTTTAATGACGTCATCTAATTTTTACTTCCCGAGCGTAAGCAAAGTGAGTGTTGTAATCGAGTCTGTCTGCCGACTCTCTACTTTTACATTTTCTCGACCTTTCATGACCTCTAGAGGATGAAAAAATAGATCTCCCGTTTCCGTCTGTCTGTCTGTCTCTCCGTCTGTCTGCCGTCCCAGATTTTTATTAGACAGATAATTTCCGAAAGTACTGAGCCGATTGTTGTCAAATTTTGTATTTATATTAGGAATATCAGGTAGATGGTAAAACGCCAACCAAAATTTGTTGAATCATTCCCACCATTAATGTGATGACGTCACTTCAAAATTGTACATAGTAAATGGGTTTTAGAGTGTATAAAATTACATAGTCCTACACATGTAGTTTATGACTCCGAATTGAATTTTTACCCGAAATGTCCAAGGTTTTGAAAAAAAAATCGAAGTTTTGAAACATTTTCCTTTAATTTGGAATCTACAAAACCGAATGCTTTGTATTATCATAAGAATGATATATTTTTAATCAAAAGTTATCTCCTCCAAAAAATTGATGACGTCAGCTCAAAACTTTGACGAATAAATCCTATCTAAAATGCACAAAATATGATGAGTCTGTATTTGGGATTTATCATTCTGTTCCTTTTTTTGGATTTGCATATACAGGGTGACTGAAAAAAATTAATGAATGCGTAAATGTATGTTATTGATTTAATCAGGAACTATAAAACCGGATGCTTTAAAATCTTGGAGATGTTTTAAATTTAAATGGACAAAGTATGATCAGTGTATACTTGTGATCTAACACTGAATTAATATTTTTTAAACTTGGTTATACGGGGTGTCCGAAAAAAATTAATGACTGAGTCAATTTATTTTATTGATTAAATCAAGAATTGCAAAACTGAGTATGTGAATACTTTGAAATCTTGATGTTGTAAAGTTATTGTAAGCATGTTAGGTTTTTAATCAAAATGTATCTGTCTATTAACCCCAAAAATTTGATTACGTCGTCTCAAAATTTTGCCGAATAAATTTTTTCGAAAATGTGGAAAATATGATCAAACTTAACTTACCATTGCATTCATATTTTTTAGATTTGCTTATACAGGTGACCAAAAAAAATTAATGAATCAGTCAATTTATTAAAGCAAGTGAAACCAGAAGCGAGGGAAGTTCTGTCGAAATAAATTTCGACCAATTTTTTTTAACTAAAATCTATCTATACAAAACCTTAAAATAATACACTTTTAGAGCTGTGACATTCATTTATCTCTCTGTTTCACTTTATGTCTATAGGTTAACAAAAATGGTCGAAAGTTGTTTCAACAGAACTTCCCTCGTACCGAAAATACAATGAAACATATCTAGCATTTTCGAGTTTTTGTAAGGACACATTTATATGAACTTGGTTTGGCGCAGTGTAGTACTTGCTAAGATAAGACTGATTGTGGCAAATTGCATACCCCCTAAGAAAAAAGAGGGCGGGTGGGTGGGGGTACTACTTGTTAAGATAAGATTATTTTGATAAATGATATATTTTCTAAGAAAAAAAGGGTGGGTGGGCGGGGCTAAAACTTGCTATGTTAGGACTGAACAATATTAAGAGTAGTCACTGGAATGAAGAAGGGGTGGGTGGGCAGGGCTAAGGCTTCCTCATAAAACTAGAAAAAAAGCTAAATTTAGCCCCGCCCACCTCCTTTATCCATTTTACTGACTTATTTTTTTAGTGTAAAATGGAAATTGAAAAATAACAGTACTGCATTCCTAAAATTTTCACGGAAAATGGAGTGAGTCGTTCCTGATTTAATCAATAAAATAAATTGACTCATTTATTAATTTTTTTGAGCCACCTGTTTAAGCAAATCTAAAAAATATGAATGCAATGATAAATCGTAAGTAAAAACTCATCACATTTTGGACATTTTGGGTAGAATTTATTCGGCAAAATTTTGAGATGACATGAAATGAACAGATGTGTTTTTATTAATAATTTACTATGCTTACAGTAACTTTAAAACGTCTGCAACATTTCAAAGTATTCAGTTTTGCAATTCTTGATTTCTTCAATAAAATAAATTGACTGATTCATTTTTTTGTGTCGCCCTGTATAAGAAAATCTAAAAAATATGAATGCAATGATAAATTACAAGTATTGACTGATTATATTTTGCACATTTTGGATAGTATTTATTCGGCAAAAGGTTGAGATGACGTCATCAATTTTTTTGGGGTGGATAAACACATACATTTTGATTAAAAATTTACCATGCTTACAATAACCTCAAAGCGTCTGCGAGATTTCAAAGCATTCGGTTTGGCAGATTCACAATTAAATTGCAAAATTTGTTGCATAATTTTGATTTTTTTTCCAAAAATCTGACGTTTCGGGTAAAAACTCAACACGTAACTGCAATACCCATGATTCTGAAATTTACACCCACTTCTAGACTACCCTGGACATATTACAACAGGATGTTTCTTTTTTAAATAAACTCCTTTTAAAATTACTTATACAGAATATTTCAAAAATATGAATGGATGAAGTAATTAATTGTATTGATTTAATCAAAAACGTCTTCTCGACTTTGATTTTTCTTAAGATTACGCTGTATTTAACCAAACTAACATATTCATCCCTACCAAAAAGTTTATGACGTCATTACAGATTATTTAAAAAAAATCTCGCCTGAAACCTAGTTTAATACTACGTATACCACTATTTTTAATTTAACTATCATATTACTTTAACAAGATGTCATAAAAACGTCGCAAGATCAAATTTTATGATTGATGAAGAAATCTGATTCGTTTAGATTGTTCTTTAGGGGTTCGGAAAGTTAAAACAATGTTTTAGAAATAAGTATATAATAATATCAGTTTCATGTAATAAAGAGTAGGTATAGCAACAACGTTTTCAATAACGTGACAGGTCAATTTCGTGTCTTAGCCATCTGCTGTAACATACGAGTATATTTTGATAGTAAACGTTGTTATAATAATAGATCTTGCAATATCAGAAGTAGATAAATAATGCAATGATGCAATGGCAAAATGATTTTCTTTAAATAATTATCTATTTCCATAAGGAAAAAATATTGTTTCCAACTGAATTAATGTTACTGAGCACAGTCAAATGCAAACTTCGCTTCACTTTGTACACAAATAAAGGTCTTTATTTCTCCCATGAAATTTGCAAAAAGTTAAATTTAAACATGTAATCGCAGAGAAAACCCCTGCCCAATATTTACTTACTTCTGTTTGCTTAAGGTATGCCTGTAGGAGTAGATAATCCGTGAGGTATCAATGCTGGTCGACTGTTGCCAATAAAGGTAAACGAAGAATAAAACGCAGCAGAGGGAGAAAAGGAAGAGGACACGCTTAAATTCACCAGGCTTCATCCTCTCGTGCCTCTGTAACAACAAAGTCCAGAATTAATAATGTATGGGGGTTGACTCCGCAAAGTAGACAAAACACCTCCTAACTCTATTAATCGTTGATAGCACCTAATTTAGTCCTTTATAGAAAATTAAAGTTTATGCTCCCAGTCCAGCACTTGACGACATAAATATCAATGTAGCAAACAAATATTTACTAGACTTGAAGTTGAAACGAAAGGGCTCGACGACTTTTTACTTATTAAATTTAGCCGTGTTGACGTTTACTGCTTGATCCTTCTGCTTAAATTTAGCGTATAATTAACGATTCAGGCTAATTAAAAACGGGGCGCCATTTACTGTCTTCACGAGGGGAATTTTAAAATCGACTTTTCGCAGTTTATCAACCCGAAGTAAATAATGTAATACACGTCGCATGATATGGGTTGTGGTCATTGTCCTCATCTTATGCTAAAAAAAGATCATTTATTATGTATCGATGACGAATTTAATACAACGCAAAATCGATACAATGACCTTAATGAACGTCGTTTGGCAGGGGCGTGTTTATAAAAATGTTATTAATTGATGAAAAAGTGGATAGACGACTAGAGAAGTGAAAGTTTAACTGTTCAGGTTCAGATGAGTCATTGACAGATAGCCATGGATAAAATCGGGCACGGTGGGATTTTAGTGAAAAAGGGACCGATGTAAGAACTAACTAATATATATATTATCATGTTGAATAGTGCCATTCGTTTTTTTTGAACATCCTCTCAACCGCTCCTTCTCAAAATCGTTGATAATGAAATAGGAGTGGACCACTTTTATAAACGAATATTTCTTTTGATTTCAAACTGTCGTTCCACATTTAAGATGAATTATTAATTAAATATCAAGTTTGAAGTATGACATAAAGCGTGAGATAGATAATCACTTCCAGTAAATAAATGAATATCGAGGGAAAACTTATTTTTCCAGATTTGGTGCTGTATTTAAATGTATTATTTCGTACAATGTAACATTAACCATAATGTTACTAATTTTCAGAGGCATGAGTCGTACATAAAAATATACTGAGTGATCTCTTTAAAGAAAGTTGCAAGTTACGCTTCAAAAAACAGAACTATCAGTTAGTAATTGAAAATAATTTGAGCTTATGCAGATCAAAAAGCCAGCCAGTTTTTGACTTTTTTAATTTCAACTGTTTAATAAAATATCAAGATAAGACACCCAAAATAATTATATATAACGTACACAATTCACATATAACCTAAAGTTTACATAGAAATTTGCTTGTATTAGGAAATGTTATAAATCTAGTACAAAATATGCAAAGATTGAAATATTGACGTCACCAAATGACTAAATGGTGCAGTGTCGAGTCATGCAAAAATGGACTAGGGTTTAAGTTACAAGAAATTAATAGTTTCTAACTATTTGTGTGATAATCGTAACGGTGACAAATATTATTATTGTTAAAATAACCTAACCTGGAAACGTATTAATGAAAACTATATGCTATTAACCAAATTGTTAATTTATGTTTTTCCCCGGCGCATCCACCATTTTTACAACATTCGCGTCGGCCACCATTTATTACTACCGGTTGTCTCGGTGTTAAAATGATAACATTAAACTGGACTCAGTATTGATTATTTCAGGTAAAATGTAAGTTGTTTCAGTCGTGTGAGAGCGTTCGATATACCAGTTTGCGTCACGAAATACTTCATGTTTCAAATATTAACAAGTGCCTTCTTCTAATACGACTCATACGTGTTTTACAATACTTCCAGAGAGCTATCGAACATGTCGACGACTCTCACTTGAGAAACACTCCGGGAGGCCTTTTGAAATATTGAAGAAGCTTAAAGGTTGCCATGTTGAGATAGCATCAGGACGGCGCTTTATAACAGGTAAGAATTCCACGAGTTCTAAAAATAAAACAACAACACATACACCTGATTCTCTTACTCCCTAATTAACCAATCTGTTTGATTAGGCGAATGTTTGAAAATGTTTGCTTGCGCCCTTGAATCGATTGAAATCACGTGCGAGAGTGCAATAGAGCAAGGTTCAATTGCTTCGGCCACTTTTAACAAGGTAGTTCGCATTCACATTTACATTGGTCGACAAGATTTGAATGATCTTGTTTTTTTGGTGATTTTTTTATTTCTAAGCATCTAACTGGGTGTATTTATCTACTACAAGCAAAGTTTCAGTGGTATACTTGTCGACTGGTGTTGTTTTCTAATTAGAATGTATATTGGCCGGAGCTAGAGGGCCTGTCTCTTACCAATGTCACTTTTCTGCTTAATAAAGTTAAATCATACCGAAAAAAAATTACTTTTGCATTACGAGTACTCCTTGAGGAAAAAAAGCTTTAAGTCGATTGGATCGGGGCTGAAATTCTCTGTTCTCTGTTTTAGTAACCGAGAATAATTGTAGAAGGGTCCGGATGATGCGAACCGGACGACTTTATCCGTCGTGAGTTGGCGGATTACTTATTTATACAGGTGGATCTTGAATCGTGAAACTTGGAAGTAAAACTGAAAGTTTTGTCCGAGACATTATCGGGGTAAACTCTGATAAATGTACGATGTTTAAATTTTAATCAAATGGACAAGAAACCAGACGGTGCAGTGTTACGTTGTAATGTCGTGGTTCCATTATCACAACACCTCCAAATTATTTAACAATGATAATACTATTAATATACTTTGACTTTAACGTTTTCATGTTGTCGGGTTATCCTTATCAGTTAAAGCAATAAAGATTTTTTCTTTTGCTTCAGTATGTCGAACGCAAACCCCATGAAAGCTATTATCTGCCGGTACCGTCAGTTGCGTTTCAGGGGCCAGGTGGGATTTATAAAACCATTAACGTTGTTTTGCAAGATTAGATTTTTTGAATTAAATATTTCGAAGCGAAAAATAATGACGATCTTCCAGATTAATCTAATAACCAAAAACGCTAAAAACTGCACTGATATTTACAACTTTTGAAAACTTGATTAAGAAAAACATGTTGGTGTGACTTGAAAAAAGAAAATTTTCCTTTTGATCGGATATGGTGTTTTTTATTTATTGAAGTTAAATACAATTTCCAAAACTGTAAAAATATAAGAACATTTTTTGATGATAACCGGGTTTCACCATAAACAGTATGGTTACCGATACCTTCTACAACTCACTAACGTTTGTTAGCTCAACCACTGGAATATGCTGTACTGATGAGACCTAAGGAGGTCGAAAATACAGTCTACGGATGTTTATTGTGTTGTTATTTAATCTCTATAGTGGTACTTTTAATTTGTGTTATAAAGGTCGATTTATAAGCTTGCCGCTGACGTTGCTGTTCACCGTTGACGTTACCGTTGTAAGATGCGTCGTTTCATCCGTTGACGTTGGTTTTCAACCAATCAAATTGCGGTAGTGTGCAGTGCTGCCAACCTGCCTACTTATATTTTACCTTTTTTTTTCGTAATATACATAGGCACAATATACTAGAAACTTAAAATATGGTTAAAATGGTACATTTTTGCAACGAAAGAAAAAATCGATATTTCTTTATACAAATTTTCCATTTTAAACTTGTTTTAAGTTTCAAGTGGTGAAAAAAAGTCTACACATATTAAAATAAAAAGGCAAAACGTAAGCCCGCCCACCCGCCCTATCTCAATTCTGATGATTTTTTTTATTCGTCGTGAGCCAAGAGGGCGCAGTTTAACTGCAAAATACTTATTCCTTCACAAGAAATTAAAAACACGTTTTTGAGTATCGTTATGTTCAAAGAATACATGTACACTAAGAGAAAAAGGCAACTATAAACCTCGCCCTCCCACCTCATCTCAATTGTGATGATTTTTTTTTTCTTAGAAATTTAAAACACGTTTAAAATGGCAAATTTTTGTGGGAAAATATAGATTTTGCAATTCGGCTCCGCTCCTAGCTCTGGCAAGGAATGAAAACTTCATTACTAAGTACATATTTAGACCAGGTCCTTATGGGTGGGACTTAATCTTTGGCTTTAATTTTTTCTTAATATACATAGTATTCTTTGAATATCACGATACTCAAAAACATGTCTTACATGGTAATTTCTTATAGAGAAATAATAAGGATTTTGCAATTAAATTCTGCTCCTTTTTGGCTCTCGTCGAACAAAAAAAATTATCACAATTGAGATAGGGTGGGTGGGCGGGGCTTATATTTTGCCTTTTTTTCATAATACGTGCAGTCATCTTTTCACAACAAGAAACTTAAAACATGTTTAAAATGGGAAATTTCTACAGCGAACGATTTTACAATTAAACTCTGCCCCTCAGCTTATGACGAATAGAAAAAATCATCAGAATTGAGACAGGGCGGGTGGGCGGGGCTTATATTTTACGTTTTTTTTCGTAATATACATTGGCATCTTTTCACAACTAGAAACTTAAAATATGGTTAAAATGGTACATTTTTGCAACGAAAGAAAAAATCGATATTTCTTTATACAAATTTTCCATTTTAAGCATGTTTTAAGTTTCATGTTGTGAAAAGAAGTCTACACATATTAAAACAAAAAGGAAAAACGTAAGCCCGCCCACCCGCCCTATCTCAATTGTGATGATTTTTTTTATTCGTCGTGAACCACGGGGGCGGAGCTTGACTGCAAAATTACTTATTTCTTTACAAGTAATTAAAAACACGTTTTTCAATATTGTGTTGTTAAAAAAAGTACTACGTATATTAAGAAAAAAAAAAGCAAAATTAAAACCCCGCCCACCCACCTCACCTCAATTGGAATGATTTGTTTTAGTCTTATAAATTTAAAACACGTTTAAAATGGTAAATTTTTGTGGGGAAATATAGATTTTGCAATTCGGCTCCGCCCCTAGCTTTGGCAACAAATGAAAACTTCATTACTACATATTTAAATCAGGTCAGGTATGGGTGGGGCTTAATCTTTGGCTTTAATTTTTTCTTAATATACATTCTTTGAATATCACGATACTCAAAAACATGTCTTACATGGTGATTTCTTGTTGAGAAATAATAAGGATTTTGCAATTAAATTCCGTTCCCTTTTAGCTCTCGACGAATAAAAAAAATTAATCACAATTGAGATAGGGCGGGTGGGCGGGGCTTATATTTTGCCTTTTTTCATAATACGTGCAGTCATCTTTTCACAACAAGAAACAGAAAACATGTTTAAAATGGGAAACTTGTACAGGGAACGATTTTACAATTAAGCTCTGAACCTCAGCTAAGACGAATAAAAAAAATCACCAGAATTGAGACAGGGCGGGTGGGCGGGCCTTATATTTTACCTTTTTTTTTGGTAATATATATAGGCATCTTTTCACGACTAGAAACTTAAAATATGGTTAAAATGGTACATTTTTGCAACAAGAAAAAAATCGATATTTCTTTATACAAATTTTCCATTTTAAACATGTTTTAAGTTTCAAGTTGCGAAAAGAAGTCTACACATATTAAAACAAAAAGGCAAAACGTAAGCCCACCCACCCGCCCTATCTCAATTGTGATGATTTTTTTTTTATTCGTTGTGAACCAAGGGACGGAGCTTTACTACAAAATTACTCATTTCTTTACAAGAAATTAAAAACACGTTTTTCAGTATCGTGTCATTAAAAGAGTACTATGTATATTAAGAAAAAAAGTAAAATATAAACCCCGCCCACCGACCTCATTTCAATTGTGATTTGTTTTATTCTTATAAATTTAAAGCACGTTTAAAATGGTAAATTTTTGTAAGGAAATATGGATTTTGCAATTAGGCTCCGCCCCTAGGTCTACCAAAGAATGAAAACTTCATTACTATTTAGATCAGGGGGAGGTATGGGTGGGGGTTAATCTTTGGCTTTAATTTTTTCTTAATATACATAGTATTCTTTGAATATCACGATACTCAAAAACATGTCTTACATGGTAATTTCTGGTAGAGAAATAATACGGATTTTGCAATTAAATTCCGCTCCTTTTTGGCTCTCGTCGAATAAAAAAAATTATCACAATTGAGATAGGGTGGGTGGGCGGGGCTTATATTTTGCCTTTTTTTCATAATACGTGCAGTCATCTTTTCACAACAAGAAACTTAAAACATGTTTAAAATTGGAAATTTGTACAGGGAACGATTTTACAATTAAACTCTGCCCCTCAGATTATGACGAATAAAAAATCATCAGAATTAAGACAGGGCGGGTGGGCGGGGCTTATATTTTACCTTTTTTTTCGTAATATACATAAACATCTTTTCACAACTAGAAACTTAAAACATGGTTAAAATGGTACATTTTTGCAACGAAAGCAAAAATCGATATTTCTTTATACAAATTTTCCATTTTAAACATGTTTTAAGTTTCATGTTGTGAAAAAAAGTCTACACATGTTAAAACAAAAAGGCAAAACGTAAGCCCGCCCACCCGCCCTATCTCAATTATGATGATTTTTTTTATTCGTCGTGAGTCAAGAGGGCGGAGTTTAATTGCAAAATACTTATTCCTTCACAAGAAATTAAAAACACGTTTTTGAGTATCGTTTTGTTCAAAGAATACTATGTATATTAAGAAAAAGGCAACATATAAAACTTGCCCACCCACCCCATCTCAATTGTGATGATTTTTTTATTCTTAGAAATTTAAAACACGTTTAAAATGGTAAGTTTTTGTGGGGAAATATGGATTTTACAACTAGGCTCCGCCCCTAAGTCTGGCAACGAATGAAAACTTCATTGCTACATATTTAGATCAGTCAGGTGTGGGGGTAGGGCTTAATCTTTGGCTTTCATTTTTTCTTAATATACGTAGTATTCTTTATACAACACGATACTCAAAATCATGTTTTTAATTTCTCGTAGAGGTTTGCATTTTAAGCTCCGCCCCCTTGGCGCACAATGAATAAAAATAATCATCACAATTGAGATAGGGCGGGTGGGCGGGCTTACATTTTGCCTTTTTTTTCTTAACATGTGTAGACTTATTTCGACAATAATAAACTTAAAACATGTTTAAAATGTAAACTCTCGTAGTAATCAACTTAAATCCGTCACTTTTCTTCTACAACCCCTTTAAATATGGCAACAATTGAACATCAAAGTCACTATCAACGGTTTCTTGGCAACGTCAACAGCAAGTTTATAAATCCCACTTAAGACCTGTATGCGTCATTTACAGTATTTTTGGTGTTTTTAATATAATAAAGGTGAGGTATAAATAAATGTCTACCGTAACAGTTGTAAACTTAAGAGTTCATTAAAATTTACCTACTTCCCATATATATTTAATATAAACGAACTCAGATATTATGATGACAACCCAAGATACGATTGATCGATGTTCGCTGCATAAAGCTTTGTCTGACAATATAAAATCTACAACTACAGGCTTCAAACACAAGTCAATTCACAGAAAGTGGATAACTAAAAAGTATAAAATTTGTAAAAATTGATTTGCAAGTAAATTGACCCTTTTTTGGTTTTTAAAATACTTATGGAAATGATGGGTAAATCATATACTCATTAATTTTTCCTCATTAAAACAAAATTACGAATAGGTGCCTAGTGTAGAAAACTTTTTCCATCAGTTTCCACAAAAAAAAACAAGAAAAAATCGTAGGACGCATTACATCATTGTATTGGAACTAAATGCGTGTAGTTTTTTTGTCACTATTCGATTTAGTTTGTAACTGTAACATTAAAACAAGAAATAAAGCATTTAATCCGAATTTATCGTATACTCCAATCAAGCAATTGTGAGGTTGCTATGACGTCAGTCGCATTCTTGTGGTAATTTGAGTTGCTTTATAATACAGAAGCCGCAAAAGCTAAATTTTCGTTTTTTCAGTTCTTTATACAATCTTGTAATTAAATTTCGTTTCTTTTCTACATTACCAGTAGGTAGGCGTCCTTTCCAAGAATCGCCAAATGACAACCGGAGCACGGATTAATACAATCTTTTACACAAAGGTCTTCACCCCTGTGGCTGTTTTAGTTTCTCTATCCGTTTTCGTTTTATTGTCGTTCATTTTGCTTTCGTTATAAATATGTTAATTGTGACAAAATTAAATTAATGTAAATTTGTCGTTACTGCAGTATAGACATAAATAGCAGTTATAATTATTTTCGATTTGTTGTATCTATACATTTAATTATATTTATAGATTGTAGCAGACTTTCCTATCAATAATGCACGAACCGGTTCGCTTTCCAACGAGTACTTGTAATGTGAGAGCTTTCTCGCTTATTTATCGATTGTTACCTACGCGGTAGAAATTATCGATATCTAATGTACCTGAATAATTTAGTAAAATTACTAACGAGCTTTCCCCTTATCGAGTTCTAATACTAAAGTTTACATCCATCTTAATGCGTCTTAAATAAATAACTCGTTCAACAATTAACCGATTTCTTTCTGAAACACTGGCAAGCCTGAGTCACAGTTACGCCTAATAAAACCCCATCTTTTATTACAGAACCCAACGTTCGGGTTGACCGTTATCCATAATTAACTAGACGTGTACTTAGTTATTTCTACTCGGGTTTAATGGATTTATCCATTACGCTGAAATATTGATTACTTGTGTTCCACCTTACTAATGTGGCAATTTCAGGTGTGTTATGTCTATGAAAAAATTGGCCGTCCTATCAGCACTGCACAACTATGGCGGACTAAACAGGACCGAAATGAACCCCACACCCGGATCCCCTCCAGCTCCGGTGCATGGGGTTAACGTCATGCTGGGAGGGTAAGACTTCCATCAGATTCACGATGGTTATCGTCTTAATTATTGATCGGGCGACCTGAACGCTCAAATAATTCATTCATTATTGAGATAATTAATTGGATAAGGCAGACACCAAATTAATTAACTGATCTTGTCAAGGGTACTTCAGTTATACCAATTGGCTAATTTATCTGGGACCTGAGGTCTGGTTAACAATCTCTAGCTCATTTTGTCTTTTCTCCTCGTATTTATTTTATTTTTATTGATCCCATTCTGAGCGGTAAAAGACAGTATATCTGGTGGCGATGAGGGGTGGAAAATTCCTCTAGGGGAGGAAATAACAGCTTTACGTGGTCGACTTGTCGAAAGATAGTTTTTATCGATTATTTTCACAAGAAGCAGGAGCAGATATTTTTATGGCAAAAAGTTTCAAGCCACATGTGTTTCGGTTTATAATCTAATTCGTCAAGATTGACTTTGATCGAATGGATTATAATTTTCAGTCTTTGCTAACTATCATTAAACTACGCGAAAATCAGGTCGGATCTGTAATTTAACTCGACAATCATTGTCAACTGAAATTAAAACAGACACACGATTAAAGTTCAAGGATGACTCAATTATCTTGACTTAGTTGTAACAGCAGGAATGGGTAGAAGTTATTTATATTAGCATAATGCGCATAGTAGAACAAATTAGAGATTTCTGGTATTACATTACAGAAAAAGTAATTGTTCCCACGATTATTCATTGAGATTGTACTGGTGAAATTATTGCGACTTTGTTAAACTTTTTTTGAGAAAATACATATCGTAGAAAACGTACACAGTTGGAGTGAAAATACTATGAATTCATGTGTTTACCTTTGTCAGTAACATATCCAACCCAGTGGTACACTTGCTGTTCCAGTTAGAATTCAACCAAATGAGCACACTCTGTCATGTCATAATTAATGTGGTACAAAAATTCACTATTTTCTCTAACATACAAAATCTCTTATAAGGGATAAAACTTCAAAAGTACAAAACACTGCAAACGTGCTATGTCATGAAACATACGTAGGTTACTGCAAAAAATAATACATGTCTGAGTTATCACTATCTACGATGTCGTGTTAATATTAACATATTTTTGCATATCATATATGATAACACAAGTGAAGCACACAGTTTTGTAATAATTACGATTATTACTTTCTAAATTAAGTAATACGGAATATTTAATGATTTTAGTATCAGCGCTCCAAGATTTTTGCAAAAATAATCAAAATAACAAAAATAGTAAGTTATAAAATGACAGTTATACTCAGTTATGTACAGTGTCGGATTGAGGACATAGACATAGGGGTCCTCCAAGAAATTTACACAGTGGGGCCCTGTGGTATTGTACACAGATGTTGTTGTTTGAGTATTATTACTATTATTATTTTCAGTTTTGCCGGCGACATTGGCGTTTTGAAAAAATTATGTTATTTTTGAAATTTTGACCATGTTACCAAGAAAAACAAAGCTAGTGATAACTGTTAACGTCTATTAAATGGCGTAATTAACATCCCGCAACTCTTGTTTCTATAGACATTCTCAATTTTCAGTATGTATATGCTTAACTTCGACCGTTTATATTTCCCCCGAATTCGATTATTGCTTGTTAAAGGTTAAAATAAAATGAAATTTGGTTGATTTTGTGTCCTCAACGCAGAGGAAAGCACACAAAACAATCTTAAAATATCTTCATGATTTTACAGGATTCGGTTTTTGCAATTCCAAAGTTAAATTGTCAAATATTGTTATACAATGTTGATTTTTATTTTTCCAAAAATCTGGATGCCAAGGGTAAAAAGTCAACACGGATTCATAAATCACACATGCAGGACTATGTTAAAGATGACGTCATAATTTTTTGTCAAACAAATTTTGATTAACGATTTTTCATCTTTCCTATAACTTTCAAACGTTTGGAATATTTCAGTCCATTCGCTTTGGCCACTTTATAGTTAAATTGTAAAATACAATTTTGAATTTTTGCCCGAAAATTTCGATGTCTAGGGGAAAAACTCAATACGGACTTTAAATTACACATACATGGAGAATGTAATTCTATTAACTGTTCTATTAAAATTATAAAATGACGTAATCATTCTTTAGAGGCCATAAACGGAAAAATCTTTATTAACGATTTACCATGTTTACGATAATCTTAAAAAGCTTGCAAGTTTTCAAAGCATTCAATTTCAAACTTAAATTGTAAAAAGTTATTATACAATTTTGATTTTTTTCTCAAAAATTCTGATGTCTAGGGTGAAAACTCGACACGGATTCATGAATCACACATACAGGAGTAAAAGGGGCAAATGAGTAGTCGGTAAAATGGCACTTTTCACCCCAGATTTTGTTTTTTAATTTATTGTAAGGTGCTCTATAATTTTTTTTTAAGAAAACAGGCTAATTTTGACGTTAAAGAGGTTTTTTCTTTTTTTTTTTTGTAAAAATCTCATCAGCGGTTTCTACATGGATCCACTGGAATCATGGTCAAAATCTTTAGAAATCCACAACTTTTTAAAAAATAACGTTTGGAGTGAAATGTTTTTATGTCATAAAAAAGTAATAATAAAATTAAATAGGATAAAAATTCAACAGGGATTGATCAACCACATGTGCAGGAGTATCTTGTTTTATAAAATTTAAATAATATTTACTATTGTAAATTTTGGAGATGACGTCATCAAATTGTTGGTAGGGATGATTAGCCAAATTTTGATTAGAGTTTTACCCTCTACACGATATTCGTATTGCACATATAAAAATTGACAACTGGTTCAGTAGTTTTAGAGTGTAAGCTAAGCAGTAGTATAAATACTGTAACTGGCTATGTTTTCTCGACGTTTCATAACCCGTAACGTATGAAAAAATAGGAATACCGTTTCCGCCGTCCGTCTCTCTGTCAGTCAGTCCGTTAGTTCGTCCGTCCGTCTCTGCGTGCGTCGTAGACAAACAATTTCGAACCTACCAGACTCGTTGTCATATTGTTGTACAATACTAACCTGTATTTGTGGTTTATGAATGCGCCTTGATTTTGTTATTATTATAATTTTCATTATTCAATATTTATCGTATTAATCGTGGTCTCTATATATAATAATATCAACCATAGGCAACGAGGGCTATGGTTCAGTGGCAAGCTCATTAGCTTTGTATGTAGGGGGTCCGGGGTTCGATCTTCGATATATCCATATTTTTTTCCTTACACCGACTGATTTACCTTTACTTTAACAGTCCATACGTAGTCTTCATTTCATAACAAGAAACTTCAAACGTGTTCAAAATGGTAAATTTTTGCTGGAAAATATGGATTTTGCAATTATGCTCCGCCCCCCGATCTGACACCAATGAAGAATTCATCGCAATTGAAATCGGGGCGGATATATGTGACGTTTACTGTAGAAAAAATAAGGATTTTGCAATTAAGCTCCACCCCTCGGCTCACAACGAATAAAAAGGTCATTACAATTGAGACGAGGGCGGGTGGGCGGGGTTTGTATTTTACTTTTTTTTCTTAATATATGTATGTAGTTTTTTTTCACAAGAAGCTGAAAACGTTCTTAAAATGGTAAATTTGTAGAGAAGTGCGGGGATAGAATTTACCATTTTAAACATGTTTTCCGTTTCTTGTTGTGAAAGGAAGACTATGTTTATTTAGAAGACAAAAAAAGCAAAACAAGCCCCGCCCACCCACCCTATCTTATTTCTGACGATTTTTCTTTGTTGTCGTGAGCCATCGGGGTGGAACTTAATTGCAAATTCCTCATTTTGCAACGAGAAACTACCAAGTGAAACATTTTTAAGTAATCGTGTTGTTCAAAGAACAATAAAATCTCAATCATGATGAATTTTTCATTCGTTGTCAGACCGAGGGGCGGGGCCTAGCTGCAAAATCTATACTTGTTGTGAAAAGTAGAGTACGTAGGTATATTCTGAGAAAAAGCAAAATAAAAGTTTCTCTAACAAAAATCCGGACAGACGGCAGACAGACAGACAGACAGACAGACAGAGAGGCAGACGGATATATGAAAAATGAAAATAATTGTATATAAAAAAAAGAAATAGACCGGGAAATTTCCCGGTGTCCCGGCGACACAATCCGACATTGGTTATTTATATTTATATATTTATATATTTAATATAAATAACCAATGAGTTTAATAATAAGACCTATTTTTGTCCTCATTTCTTAAGTGTTCTCGTTTTTTAATGTCGTCATAGTGTATTTTCAATGGAGTTAAAGACAACAATAAGCTTTTTACTTATTAGAGTATCGTTGATTGTTCGTTTTAATTAAGGTTCGGTTGACACAATTTTAGTTTTAAATCCAAATTTAGAACAAATACGATTTGTATCAAACAAAATAAAAAAAACACCAAGGTGACGATTGTATTAAATTTAAATTTTGTACACTATCAAACGGCGTAGTAAATATCACAATGTGAACTGGAAATTAGGATAGCAAAAACTCTAAAACTCAACTGTCAACGAATTTTGGGACATACTTAGTTAATAATTGAATTTTTTGGAAATTTTAAGAAATTGTGTAGAAATATTTTAATTTATTTCTTTATTATTATGGATCAGTGTTATCACAATTATTTGTTGTCTTGATATGGGAATTATAAAGTCTACAATGGTTAACACCACGAAATATTTATCTAAAGAATTAGTAATTTTTGACGAATTCCGTAACAGTACTGTTTATTATTTCGATATAAAGACGACTATTTTAAACCAACAGTTAGCTTTTGAGGCACAAAGATTTAAAATCTAGCTATAGCAATTACGAACTTTTATGTAAGTTCAAAGACGAAAATAAATAATCAACCTTACCATCATTTTAAAAACCGACGTCCCTAGTATTCTTTCAACAATTCCGCTTCCCATGTCATCGACCCAATTCTCGTGGCAAAGGTTAATCTTTCCGCTAACAATTCATGAAATTCTCCAGTCAACAAACGCTGCTGTGCAAAAACTGGGTTATCTTTAGACACAAATTCCCGTTTTAATATTATCCAAGAAAACATGCAAAGCGTTACGAACTGCCAACGTCATTTCCTTAAAGCGCTCATAGTAATCCAATAAGCATGTCCATCGAACGGCAATTTTCGGAATATAACACTAAAATTAGGTTACGCCCTAAACTCGATTTTCTATCGATGTAGATTTTTCTTCTAATCGGTTATTTTACCGTCACAGGGCCATGATCAGCGGCATCATTCTTGTTGTCTTCATTTTCTGCTACTGCTGTCACAAGACACAAAGGAAGTCACAGACGCATTTGCCTCCGTATTGGAGGGACCCAGGAGGACTGTCAATGGAAATCTACACCGTAGAAGCACAAAGTGTGAGTATTAGCAGCATAATAATAATAATAAAGCAAGCAATCACCTCGCACACTCGCGGAAGCATCGCGGTCACGTGCTGGTGAAAGCGGAAGTTGTTTTGATAATCGCTTTGCAATGCATAATGATGTGTTTTAACATTTGATTTGAAATCTACAAGATCCAAACATGAACGGAAATTACCATCCATTGTTTCAAACGCTGCAGAAAAAATAAAACAGCTTTGAAATGTTTAGATAATACAATAGAAGGATCAATTAAAAAGTGCAACAAGAAAATTAAACATTTTTGAGTTGGTACATCAGTGCCCTTAGCTTCAAGATTATACAAAAACATGTGGAGTAAGAGGTAAAGAGGTTTAATCGTAATTATTAGAGCGTAGACAGTTTGTTGAAATAAACGGAGTTAGTGTTATAATAATGAATATGGTGTACCCCAAGAGCTTATTTGGGGCTTGTGCTGTTTATAGAAGACACACATGATGGGCATGAACATACATGATTACTCGATTATGACCCCTAAATCAATAATAGTATACAAGATACAAAAAGTATTTGCTGTTACAATTGTAAACAATTTTTGTCTAATTTTTTAAGATTAATAGCTTCACGGTGTACATAAACAGTGAAATGTTAAAAAAAAAACAGGGCGGTAAATGCCGAAATATTTAAATTTTATACAGGGTGATTAAAGTACCTAATTCAACAATGTAGCATCATTAATCTAGTAAAAATATTATTTGCAAAAACATGAAAATACGATAAAATTATTGTAGCTAACGCGTGTTCAATAAATTCTTGTTTTATATCTACTAACAAATGAATTTAACACTGATGAGTTTGAAACAGCGAATATAACAAAAACGTGCGCTCGACGATGCGCGCCCAACTGTGAATGTGAAACACTTGATGAGTTTAAAAGTAATATACGTCAGCTGATCAAAGTAACTGAGGTGTATCTTGAAGAGTTTATATTTCATGAATTATTATACAATACAGATGGCAAATAAAAATCTATTATTACCATCATCATATGCAAAAAATGATTTTTATTTATGGTGTAGAAAAGTGATCTTTTATTGGCAAGTTATCAACAATGGTGTCATGATTACAGCGTCGAAGACGAAATTTCATTTTATCACATCATTATGGCTGTACTGGCTGTAAGCCGTCTCGGCGTCGTTATCTCTCGGTGGAAATTGATCGATGGAGAAGATTTATCGAGGTTCTAATAAAACTGCAGTTAGCTTTTTGGCAATAAACTTATCTTTTAAATAGGATTTACCGAGTCTGGGTGTTGCCAGCCATTTTAAGGAAGTTTTACAAAGTTAACATATCGCATAGATAATGGTTGAGAGTAATTTCTCAGAGGAGTTTCATTACAATATAGGAAGAATTAAAGTAATTAAGCATTCAGTAAAAATAGTTAAAATAAATTAGCTTCCAGCAGAGATACAGGTTGTTCAATCACCTTAACTTTTTTCTGCAATTGTTTCTACAGTCAATATCATATTTTTAATTATGTTCAAGATAATTGTGCCTGGGTTATGTAAGTTTATAATTCATTGGTAATAAATGTGTTTTTTTTTTTTCATGTGAATTTAATATGAAATATATGGCTCATTATGCCCGATATAGTACAGGGTCATTATTTCATATAAAACATTAAAATGGAAATACATATAATAACAGGTAACACAATAGGCTATTAATAGAATAATTCCCTAGGCTAAAACGTCAAACGACTGCTTGTTTATTTAAACAACTTTGCAATTGTTTGAAAAGCAAAAACTGAAAACTGTACAGGTCCTTCATATTGAAAATTTCTTAGATGTCACAGCAGCTTTTTTTTATCGTACGGTACATCAAGCTAAATGCTACCGTTTTGTTATTGTACAGTATAATCCAAAGAGCAGCGACTATTAGCCCGAACGCGAAAAGCAGCTAATTCCCTCGCTTTTAATCGGGCTTGTACACGTAAGGTTTTTCCACAATAATTAACCTTTTAATAATGCATCGGTAGGCGGTAAATTTGGTTTGTATTATTAAATATAAGCTGGCGTGGGTAGCTCTGACTGTCCATTATTACACCAACTGTTACTTATTTTATTTGAAATTAGCTACAAATTCAATTTGTCCCTAATGGAAATTGGAAAGCAAAAATTGATTGATTAAATTGTAAAGTGACATTTTGGTATGAAATCAGTGCAGAAGTGGTATTCGATCATCAAGCGTAACGCCGTGAATAAAATATTCCGTTCGATCATATAAATTATGAACTACTATGATAGTTTTTGAATTTTCCATTATCATAAACTGAGTGCCTGTGGTGTAAAAGTTTCCGCTGTATTGTGCAGCTTTTTTAAATAAAGTGTATTGAATTAAATTGGGTTGGATACGTTGCACAACTGGGGTCCGAGAGGTAAATCACTCATTACTGTACTGTTTATTTATTCTTTATTTACATACGTTGTACTAAACAAATATAAAATTTTAACGGTTAATTAATTTAAAAGTCTGATGTTACATTAAAATGTCTATAAATATCTTTTATTACCTCAGCTATTTTATTATGCTTGGAAAATGGACTTTCGATTGTAAGACCATTTTGAATGACATTTTATAGTCGTATAAATTTATGACTTCGAAAGCAATGGCATCTGCATAATAAATTGTCGCATTTTATAAGCATCAGAAATTGTGTCGGAGTCTCTAGCAGCTTATTTTTTGAGTTTTGATCGATATCTAAATTCACTGACATCACAAAGAAGTCGTCTATTAATAGTAATTATTTAATCAACTAATTCTATTTTTGCTTACTAAATATTAAAACAATGAAAATTTATTTATTCAACAATTCTTATCTACATTAATGAGATGTTATTGCTAGCTTGGTTGTCATAGTTAGATTCAGATTTTTCTTCCGAGTATCTGTCACGAATTAACAATAAAATAAATTTTACTAATAAATAACTATCACATTTCGCGGAAGTGATGCTCATTGCCGTCCGATCACCAGCGCCATTGCAGTTGTGGCCTATGACTTCGGGACTTCTTAATAACAATTACTACTTTTTCTCGGTTTTCGTCAGTGATACGAGTTGTCCTAGATGTTAAAATAACAATTTTCATTGTTGATTGTCCATCACTTCGGCTGTGCCTAACTCTGATAATATATATATTTTGGTTAAATGACTACAATGTTTCTAGCTCTTACACAAAACTACTCTACGTGGAATAGTATTTGTTTTTTTTTTATTTTAATAGAATTTAAAAAAGATTTAATTTAGAAGCAATCTACTCGTATTTTAACAAATTTCTGATACACTTTGAAAAACTATCACACTTTGGCCCGTTAGATTCATAGATTGAAAGTATGTTGAAGAAAGCACAGTGGATGTAAAGGCGTCCAGACGAGTCCACTTACGAATTGCAAGAAACTGTGAGCGACTGCTATAGACTAACAAAATAATGATCACATTTTATTTGGAGTATTCATTTCTCACTCATATTTTTTTACTCGTGAGAAATGAATGATGGTGTAGTACTTTCGTCATTAGATTAACCCTGCAATATTGACTATCATTTTCATGCACTACCGTGCAAATATAACGTTCGATTCTGACGTAACCCATGTCTAAAATGCCTTTCGGCATAAAAAGGTTTCCTTGTTGTAAATTTGCTTTCAAATGGAATCATGTCAGATTATAACAATGGACATCAGTGGAAATCCCGACAAGCTTATTCGAATGAAATTTAATACCTAAATCCCCAACAGCGTATTTTTGCATCAATAAAGCATCGTTATTAGCAATATCTGTAACAAAAAAGAGGATTTGTTGCATATGCAATGAAACGAAACCGGTTGGCAAAAATTAAAACAAAAAATTCCGTACAAGTGTCCAAGAAATTATATCAGTACGTTAACACTTTTATTTTTAACCTAAACACCCTAATAAAAAGCGACCAGCACGCTCGCATTTCCCTTCGGTGTAAATCTGCGTCACTTGCGCCTTCTATTTTTATCAAAAATCGTAAAGACTTGTTTACTGAATATAATCGGCAGTAAATTTGCCGTTGATCGACATTAAAAGCACATTAAACCCTGATTAAAAACTCCTTTAAAATTACATTTACGAACTTTACAATGACTGAAACACTTGACTAACAAAGTTTGAAATCTACAGCGGCATCTCTAACTCGGATCTTTCCCGCAAGGAAACTTCGTTTAAGTGTTATTAAGTTTCGTCTTTGGCACACTACTAACTTTTCAGATACTCCGATATATAAGGGTAAATAAAATTGTTTCTGATATGGGGATCATAGGAGAAAATCATGGGATACTTTTACTAGTCTGTCTATATAACAGGACTTTCATATTCCAAATAACAAAGGCTGCCGCTTTTGACAATTTTCTTATTTGGAGCCGTTTCAAGTTTCAATTTAGATGCAGTTTGTTTTGGATAAGTTTGTAAAGTGGAAGTTATTAATTTATGAAGCTAAGTTTCCAAATTTGAAATATTATATTATTAAGTATCAAATGACAGCAGTCGAATAGAATGGAAAACACTTTGTAATAGAGCTGACGTAGAAAATGTACTGAAAGGAAAGTATTTCATACTAATAACAAAGTTTTGCATATTTCTGTCGTAAACACGGAGGAATGCAGGAGGTATTTTCGTTCTTTACATTATGCTACGAAAAGTACTGATATTTGTATTAATTTACAACACATTTTTTTTGCCTGACATGTTTACACTACTGCCAACAACATTTTTAATTTTCAAAACTGAAAATAGTAAGTACTCAATTATTTCCATACTAAGAATGCGATTGAAACCCGTACAACCAAAATCAATAGTTTTTAATTATTTTTAAATATATACTTAAAACTGTAGCACGGACATAAGTGTGATAAGTCACGACAAATGGTTGAACTTTTGTCATGAAAATTATAAGAGATGTTCTATATTTTTATGGTAAAGTGCATGGGGAAGTGACGATGTGTTTGTGGTTTTGTTGAGGTTAGATAGTTTTTACTACCATTAATTTTGGCAGCAATTTTCCCAGTAATTCTGTGACGTGTAAAATGGTTCTTAGTAAAATGTTTTGGCAGTGTGCACATTTTTAGAATTAAGATCACCCAGAAAATATTATATAACTTTGTTAAAAATCCAATCGTCATACGTTTAAAGAAATCAGTAAACACCCTTTGACATCACCAACTGTTTTTCTTTTTTTTTTTTGTATTTGAAAATCTGTGAATTGAGTTTATTATTGTTGGATGTATAATTAATAAATTCATCTTAAAACAGTAATTTGACTCATAATAAAAATTAGGAGGTAGGTAATTCTTTAATGATTATCCCCAGAGTGTTAACTTTCTTTACTAATAGAAACAGGTAAGAAGGGGTTTGAAAAAACATTAGTAAAAACAATGAATTTGGAAATATCATGGTGCTTACTACATATAAATGAAAGCTTAGTTAAGAAAATTAAGGCCTTAATCCCTTAGTAACATTTCTGTTCTTGAAAACAAACGAGGTCAAGTTCGCAACAAACAATGGTCTATAAGTAGTCTAAATCTACACACTGTAAGCTAAATAAAATGAATCAACAATGTGTGCAAATGTTTCATCGTAACATTAGTACAAAGAATGATGATAATAGAGTTGTTCCACTTACTCGACAAAAAAATATGCACATTTTACATTATATCATCAGTGTGCTTAAATTAAACCGTGAAACTAAATTTGCAAAGTAATTAATAACAATAATGATAAGTAAAATTACATCACCAGGATTTGCTTAAAATTTAGCAAATGGTAACTTTCGGTTGATTGACAACGGCTTTTAATTAGAAAATTGTCTGGATATGAACGTTGCCAAATTTACCATCAACAAGTGGTGTTTCAACAGAAATGGCAAAGAGTCGATGTTAATGTTGCTATTAGATTCGATTTTTTTAGTAACATTTCTTGACAATCTTGACAACGATTCACGTATTAACTTCTTCAGGAAATCGGTGTGTTTTTAACAACTGGCAACATCGCAATAAAATCTCTTATATAACAAGCATTTTTATGGGTTTTTACGTTTCTAAGTTAAAGTGAACAGTACAATAAATAAATATGCCGCTGTTTTCTAATATGTTACGGGGAAAAATAGAATTTTTAATTATTAATTGTCGATTCAGAATTTTTATTGAGTTTTATGGTGTAACCATTACCATTTCAAATTTATTATTCCATGAAAGAATTAAAATTTTCTAGTGAAGTGTCCCGGATATAAAATAAATGAAGTAATTTTTTCGCTTAGATTTCCACTGGCCGTTGCTAATAAATAAATATCTTCTAACTTCTTGCCTAAAAATATATTTTCTGTGTGCTTTCATTTTCATCTTCTTTTAAAAAGATACAATGTTTGCTGTAGTACATCGTGCAACTTGAATCATTCACATACCTAATATCCCCATATTTATTTCAAATAGCTGCCATCATTTTCTACACTGTAGATTTCTGCGAGTTCTTATGCATTGTTAAAGATAGTTTAAATCAACAAGATTTATTGATATTCGTCTCAAAAACAGATTAGACAAGGAATAAAAAATTCATCACAATTGAGTTTGGGATGGATATGGGTAGGGCTAAATTTTTGACTTGTTTTTTTTCTTAATATACATGGTATTCTTTGAACAACACGATACTCAGAAATAAGGGTTTTGCAATTCAGCTCCGCCCCCTTGGCTCACGACGAATAAAGATATCATCACAATTGAGATAGGGCGGGTGGGCGGGGCTTATATTTTGCCTTTTTTTCTTAATACGTGTTTTAAGTTTCTTGTTGTGAGAATATTCACAACAAGAAACATGTTTAAAATGGTAAATTTGTATAGGGAAAGATCGATTTTGCAATTACGCTCCGCCCTTCTCTCGCCCTATCTCAATTGTGATGATTTTTTTTTATTCGCCGTGAATCAAAAAGGCGGAGCTTAACTGCAAAATACTTATTTCTTTATTATTTCTTTACATGAAATTAAAAATATGTTTTTGAGTATTGGGTTGTTCAAAGATTACTATGTATATTAAGAAAAAAAGACAAAATATAAACCCCGCCCACCCACCCCATCGCAATTGTGATGATCTTTTTATACCTAGAAACTTAAAACACGTTAAAAATGATATATTTTTGTAAGGAAATATGGATTTTGTGATTAGGTCCCGCCCCTACGTCCGCCAACGAATAAAAACTTCATTGCTATTTAGATCACGGAAGGAATGGGTGGGGCCTAATTTTTGGCTTTATTTTTATATAATTTACATAGTATCTTTAAAAAAACACGATACTCAAAAACATGTTTTACATGGTCATTTTTTGTAGATAAATAATAACGCTTTTGCAATTAAATTCCGCTCCTTTGGCTCTCGACGATTAAAAAAAATCATTACAATTGAGATAGGGTGGGTGGGCGGGGCTTATATTTTGTATTTTTTCTCAATTAGGTAGTCGTCTTTTCAGAACAAGAAACTTAAAACGTGTTTAAAACGGTAGATTCTTGTAGACAAATATGGATCTTGGAATTAAGCCCCGCCCCTCGATCTGAAAATTAATGAAAAATTCATCACAACTGAGAATTGAGACCGGGACGAATATGGGTGGAGCCTAATCTTTGGCTTTATTTTTTTCTTAATATACATAGTAATTCATTGAACAACACGATACTCAAAAACATGTTTTTAATTTATCGTAGAGAAATAACGATTTTGCAGTTAAGCTCTACCCCCTTGGCTCACGACGAATAAAAAATATCATAAGAATTGAGATAGGGTGGGTGGGCGGGGCAACATTTTTCCTTTTTTTTTTCTTAATATATATCGCTTACGTTCGGGAAGTAAACATGAATATTTAATGTAGCAACAATTAATATTAAAGAGGATTATCAGTCTGATTGGAACAGTGACACTTCAAAAATTAATTTCACTACTAATGAAATAGTACTAATTTTAATGATATAATTAAGCAAAATGAATTAAAACTACTTTTTTGTTGGCTTCGGTTTTAATTAACAGCAATTAACTACAACTATAACACTACCTATAACTATAACTCCAACAGTTATATCAAATTATTCATCACTTACCAATTTTTTAAATCTAATTAAAGAAAATTAACAATTTATCAATTAGGGAAATTTGAAGTTTGAAGAAAATTAACTATAATTACGTGCCAGTTATTTATTGTTATTATTTTAAGTTAAAATTCTTATTATACTAATTACTAATTAATAAACTATTAATTTGAATGAACTAGCTATTAATTATAATTTATTGCAACTAATTGTGGTTTAATCATAATGTCAGTTAATGACTAATTATTATTTAATTAACATACATAGTTTAAAAGAACAACCAAGGGATTTGAATTTTTTATCTACATACATTATAGCTGTCGACTCACCATTTTTATGAAATTAAAGGCTTTTTTATTTTTTCTAAGCAACAAAACAATTATAAACATATCGCATTGCATTTTTTTCCGCCTAGAGTTTTCTTCATGTATTTTTTAGCACAGTAAAATGACGTTATTGTTTCATTAACCTTTGACTCACTTGTTAATCTCTCCCTGCAGTGTTTCAGTTCGGAGGAATTTACCGAAACCCACCACCGACCACCTACACCTGGACCACCTCCAGCCTACGACCTCGTCGTCCCCATGCACAAAGGCTCCGACTGGGACAAAGGCGACGACGAAGGTGATTTGCCTAGCTACGAAACCGCCGTCAAACTGCAAGCCCCAGGAACCGGATATGTTTGAACCGGGAGTTGGTGCTTTGAGTGCTCTGTTTACGTTCGGTTTAAAAAGCGTGCGGCGAACCGGAGTGAAATTGAAAAACTCGAGACGAGGGAACGGAAAACATCGCAAGGACACGCAAATTTATTTAGCTTATCTGTTTAAGCGTAGATTTTCTAAGGAGATGCTTTTCGGTTAGTTTCTTCAAGTTAATTATGTACATTAGTTGAGTAATTAAAATCGTAACGTCAAGGGCGCATACTTAGATAAGAAACGCAATAATGTACGATACGTGTATATAAAAGACAAGTGTATAAAACACCAATTAAACTTAGGAATTGAAAAGCAAGTAGGCAGAATGGCCTTTATAGAAGTTCTAAATTCTCCAAGATTTTTATAGAGTGGACCTAATATTTAGGTATGTTGATATACGTGGATTTATTTCTTCAAATTCATAGGATTTTTGTCAAAATGATGTTCCTAAGTTAAACAAATCTGAATAAAAGTTATTTCCAAGATTTTCATGTTTAATTTTAAATGCGTTCTTTGTTTGTTTCTATAAAGTGCAATGTTTGATTTACTGTCTAAACACTCACAGTCTTTTAATAGTTGAAACATATAAACAAACAATATAAGAGAATTGCTTGAAAAACAAAAAAAAATTTGAAAAAGCTATAACAGCAAATTAAAAAATATATTAATTATTACTAAGGTTATTTCGACTTCCCTTGCCCTTAATTTTTTTGAGCCATCCTCTATAAGTAATTCTAAAAAGGAAGATCGCATTGTTAAACCACATATATTTTGATTAACGATTTACAATGATTACGATAACCTTAAAACCTTTGCAGGATTTCAGAGCATTCGGCTTTGTAATTCCAAAGTTACATTCCAAAATGTTATACAATTTTGATTTTTTTCCAAAATCTGGATGTCTAGTGTGACAATTCAATACAAGTGCAGGAGTATCCTGTTTTATACAATTAAAACAAATTTACTATTGTATATTTTGGAGATGACGTCATCCCATTGGTGGTGGGAATGATTATCCACATTGTGGTTGGCGTTTTACCATCTACACGATATTCCTAATGTACATACAAAATTTGACAACAGTCGGTTCAGTAGTTTTGGGGATTATCTATGTAATAAAAATGAATACAGGCGACAGATAACAGACAGACGGAAACGAAATACACACTTTTTCGGACTCTAGGGGTCATGATTCCTCGGATGGATCATATTACAATACTTCCTTAGATTACACTCAGAAAGTACTACTAAAAAACATGTTCAAGGTTACTTAGACAGAACTTACTTCGCCCTTGAAGTAGGCAGCTTCGAAAAAGCTACAGCTAAAGAAGCATGCTGTGTCTACGTTTCAAGTAAGTTTGCTTGCTGTGCTTATCAAGTTTCCTATGATGTGTCTAAGGAACAAGAGGGATTGAACAATAAAAGAATTTCATGATAATAAACAAAATTAAGGTATATATTAAATCACAAGTACAAGAGTATGTTATTTTATAAAATTTAAATGGTCTTTAGTACAAAACAGTTTGTGGGGACGTCATCAAATTGTTGGAGGGGATGATTGGACAAACTTTAGTTTAGTAGTTTCGGAGATTATCCGTCTGACAAAAAACGACTAGACGATAGACAGACGGAAACGGGGACCTATTTTTTCGTATTCTAAGGTAACAAAGGTAAGTTTTACGACGTTGTAAATCTATATAGCGTCGTACTGGATGTGTGTACGATCTGCGTAATGGTAAGGTGCATATCTTTAATTTAAAATAAAGAAAAACATTATAAACTGATAAACTTTGGACTTGAGTATATAAAAAAAAACTACCACAATTAAATTTATAACTACAATATAGAAGTAAGAAATACTAATAAAAACAAATTCCTGGAATTCGAAAACAACTGTTGTACAAATACTATTTGTTTGTTACATAACAATAGCTTTCCTATAAGGCATTTGTACGTCAAGTGTCAAAATGCTTACAGCATGCCCGTACCCAGATTTTTATAATAAAATCTGAATTACTGGTTGCCTACCTCGCAGGCATTTATTACAATTAATTAAAGTAAAGAAAAGAGTACACATCCTTATAAATTTAAATAAGCTGACCTAGAATACGAATTTTATCCAATACACACCATAATAATCTCAATTAGGAAACGTTACACTTACATTTCATAATTGAAAAGAAAAATACAAAGTAGACGAACAAAAACTTAAACTGCCTCCACAAATGGTAAGCCCTCAGATATGACGTTTTCCAGAACTAGAGAATTACTGGTTCGGTACATGTTCAAACATAAAAGAACAGTTATAGGAATCAGGTTAAATAGTGAAAGCGGGACAATTGATTGTAACTAGTGCTAATAATAACAATAACATAACATACATTATTTATAAAACATGTTTTTCACAAAATTATAAAAGCAATTATTTAAGTAAATTTTCGTGTTTAGGCTGAAACTGAGTTTGATATTTATTTATGAATTTTAGCGCTCAATTCAAAGCTGTATTTATTTACGCACCGTAAATGTACATATATTACATTAGTGATCTATTTTTTACGGCGTTGTACTTATAACATAGTAAATGTAATAAATATTTGTAACTTTTATGTGTGCAATCAAAAAATTAAAATATAGGAGTATTAATTACTGGAGTATTAAATTTTGCTTCAAACGAATGGGTCCAACTAATTTTCTGCTAAAAAGTGTGTGTATATTTACGTGTGTAAATACAGTGTGTTAGACGAAGACAGAAATAATAACATACCAGAAGTTGTAACTGGTCCACTTTCACATCTTGCCAAAATGAAAAGAATTATACTGCAGTCCAATAAGCGTATACACAGTTCCAATGAAGCGGCAAAATTTCATTACAGTCCAATATCAGAATTACAAGTACAAAATTCCGTCTAAGTTATTTTTAAGAAATATCTGTATTTAAAATTATTTTGTTTGAGAATAAATAAAATGATAAAACAATAACAATAAACTGGCGCCAGCATAAAATATATTAGATAAGTGTAAGTCGATATTTTTCATAAAACAAATAAAGTTTAAGTTATAAGTACAAATATTTTAATATTCATGAGAAACATTCCAAAAATTGTATAAAGCGTGTGTGTATAACGAATGTAAGAACAATGGATTAACCCACATGTTGCTTTATCGTGTTTAAATTATATATAATCATTCCGCAAACGTCTTAAAATTTGATAACCCTGTCTTGAGCAACGCCTGAAGATAAAACTTAACAATACAAAAAAAGGGTATTTGTTATCTATGTTACAGAGGGGCACTATATATTTATTAATCTTGAACTTGAATCGAAATATTTAACTAAGAACGTTCTGCCTAGTGTAATTATTCTTTATAAAGTTTAAAAGCAAATGTTAGCACTATAACAAAAACAAACCAACTAAAATAAACTCACGATATAATATAAAGTTTACTGCTTTTAAAGTGCCTATTTTTTGCCACATTGACCTCTGTTTCACAAGATGGTACTTTAAATGCAAAATTAAACACTTCATGGTCGTATGCAACAACATAAACAACATATGCACTTACCCAAATAAAGGTTAATAAGCATTCCATGCGTAACTGTACGAGCAGCAAGCAGTTTTAGATATCTTAGATTGAATTTATAGTACTTTATTTTGTCAATTGGATGTACATGCAAAACTACATTTTATTAATCTACTTTTATGTAGATGTTATATCGCCAAGAATGAGTTACACTATCACATTAACAGTTAATAAGACAACATGACATGCACATGGTAAGTATCTGTTGCGTTGCAGCGACAAAGGAAGTTCTTTATAAATAAATCTGAAATATGCAATACTTTCAATTTGCGGACTATCTATTGAGATTTTTAATTTAATCACCCTCGCTGGAGCAGCCGCAAATATTAGAGAAATGTTTCAATTACGAACTTCCAGCAGCGGATTTTTCCTTCAATTTCCAACCTAACATCTACCTTTAGATATTTCATTTCATTCCTAATGACTCGACTGAGGAATATTTAATGGCTTTATATCAGTTACACGAAAGTCTATTTTTAGAACAATTAAGCATTCAAGTTTGCACAATTTGCCGCAGCAGAAGCCTCAATTAAAATTCTTTCTTGAAGAAAAACATTCCGATTTTGCAAACACGACGAAAAAATCTGTATTTCTCTTGTTTTTCTGTTTGATAAAATCTCTCCGATCCAGCTGAAATAATAGAAGTGAAGCATCGGCAGAGAGTTATTGAAGGGAACATCTTTTCAATATTTAGCACGTCATCAGGATAATTCAACAAAGGCCATCAAAATCCCTTTAAATCCGGCACGTCTTTGAAAATATTACAGGTTATGCAACCGAAAAAGTGTTCCCTTGGGGTTTTTAAAGTTATGAAAAAATAATCAGAAGTAAGCAGTGTGGGCTGAAAGAAATACGGAGCTGCGAGTGTGATTTATGGGATGTGTACAGAGGTTATCGATGCGAAAATTTTCGTATCGACATTGCAATTTGTGTTTTTATGCGTAGGTGTGTCTGAACAATACCAGTTAAATGGTCAAAATAGAAATTGATATAGTTTTAACAATTCTTTGTATTAAATAGTAAAAATTTCAGTAGTTATTTTAGTTACTGAAAGAAGAATAATATGTGGCTGTACGGCTACTTAAAAATAAAAAGTTGGAGGCGGTACAATGGTTTTATAATACTTAGTATCTTTTTAAATGTTTTTCCGCATGCTCGTGTCTACATTAATAAATAAATGTGGTCTCTGCAACAAAATTTACAGCACATGGTATGCGTCAGAAGTTAACATTTTATTAATCATCAGCATTGAGGAAGGAAACTGTCAGCTATTTTAGTAGGTGTTGGTAGGTAGTCGCCTATAACAGGAACAGGAAAAGAAAGCAATTTTGGTTTTAAACAAGGAGTTCCTGTAGACGTTTAGATGAACTTAACAGAAGATTTATATTGTGAATTAAACAGGAGTCAAG